GAGAAATGTACCTTGAGAGCAATACCTGGCTATGCTCCTCACTAAGGTACCAATGTACAGTGCACTGCAATATGTACAGTGCACTGCAATATGTACAGTGCACTGCAATATGTACAGTGCACTGCAATACCTGTTGGCCAGCAGAACACTTATTGTACTACAGTTCGACCAAAGAACTCTGTAGAGAAAATAGAGAAATACCTTGACAGCAATGTCGGCGGAGAAGCAGAGCAAGCAGAAGAACTCGATGCCTTCAATGACACCACACGGCAGTTCATAGCCACGCTTCATAGCTGGGTCTGATGATGCACTGGATGGCGACATTGAAATGCAGATATAGGCACACGACAGCAGCAGCAGCAGCAAGAGCAACACATGGATGCAGACAAAATTGAAATACTGCAGACCGGGATTATGACACTATAAGTTGAAAGCACAGAGCAAGACTGACCGCCGATAATACTACAGTAGGAATCATGCAATGCCAGTAGCCCCTTTCAGTTTTGTGCTGAATGGTGCACGCCTGGCTGTTCAAGATCTGGTATAGACGGAGGACTCTAATGCATAACTTGTGCCCCGATCTTCTCCCCTTTTTCCTCCAATAGAGTATTATACTTGGTTTCGCAGCCTGTCAAAAGGCGGTCATACACGCCGGGCATCTCATGCTCTATCTACAAGTAGCTGCAAACAGTTAGACTAGCTACTGTGTGATGGTTGGTGTGTGCTGACCGCCATTCGAGAGGCTATATAAAATAGAGCTGCATGTGCAGTCCTCAAACTATCATTCTAATCTAAATACTTGTAGTATGCTGCAGTACAGTAAACCGTGGTTTAGGCAACCACAGCCTGGTATCATGTGCTACATAGAATACAGAAGGTGTAAGGTGCAAGGTGTAAGGTGTAAGGTGTAAGGGCGAGTTGTTTAACATCACTGACCAAACAGGCAGAAGCTACCGGTAGCAGTTCGAAGCAAAAGGCAAACATCTAAACCGCCGCCGTGGAAACATTCACCTACTTTTGAAAAAATATGTCACTTCTCTGCGGTTGACGTCACAGGATAAGAATTTGCAGAGAAGTAGTGTTGTATGAGCCCTTTAGCCCCGTACACATTCCCGTATGCACACACTTCCGTACACATATACATACACATCTGCACATCCCTGTACACACACCCATGCATGCACTCCCCACTGACCTTTGCCCTGCTGACCTTTTGCCTCCCTTACTGCATGCACTGCTGACCCCTTTTCCCGCTCACCCTGTCTCACTAACTGCATGCACCCCTTTTCCCGCTCACCCTATTGCCACTTACTGCATGCACCCCTTTTTCCCTCCATAACTTTAGGTATACCCGGAAGGCTGCGCTTGTGCAGTGTAGTTCTCACAGTGGTTCTTCTTGTTGTTCTCCCAGTCTTCTCTTTGTAATTAGAGAGGTTCTGCAAAACGAAAATGTGTACGAACTTTCGCTCTACGTCACGAAGTGAGAAACTTCGCACGAACTTTCGCAACTTTGGACGCGAAACTTGCAGGGAACGCGAAATGAACTTTCGTAGGAAGTTTCGTGAGATTGGGTCATGTCGTACGTGCACTTGGCGCGTGCAAACTACGAAAATGTGCAGAACACAAAGTTCGTGCGAAAATTCGTACACATTTTCGCAAGGCCTGTCGCGAAACTTCGTTCGAATTTTCGTTGTGCAGAACCTCTCTATTATCCCAGTCCTCTCCAGTTCTTTAGTCCTCTTTGTGCTTCTCGAAGTCAGATAATAATTATAACTATTATAACAACCCATAATTCCGTGCAGTCTGAGATAGTATAAAGAGTGTTATAAAGTAGCAGTAGAGTAGAGTACAGTAGTTCCAGCAAGATGCCATATATAGACAACATTGGTTAGACAACAGTAGTGTTCTCTGTCCACCCGGGAACGGGTCTGAGGGAGCACGGTGTGGGATAAAAGGGGGTAACGAGTGCAGGGTCGGCCTCTTTTGTCTTTGTGCGTAGAGTTGAGTGAGAGCAAGAAGAGCAAGAGGAGCAAGGAGAGTAAGCAGATGAAGAGGGAGAGACAGGACGAGAGTATGGCGGCGGCGAAAAAGAGAATGTGGAAGGCCAAGGCACACGAGGAGCAGTTTAATGTGCTCAGCAAGGCGCTGGAGCCTCTGGCCAAGGCAAGGCAGCGAATATCTATGATGGGAAAGTGGAGTGCGGCTCGGATACAGACGATGAGCGTAGGATGAGAAGGGCCAGGGTGGAGGCCAAGGAGGGGTGGCCCCCACTGGCAATGTTGACGTGTTCAATAGTGGTGTACACGTATGAGTGAGTGTGCAACGAGTGGAGAGCAGGGTGAGATCCAGCAAACCCACCTTGGGGAGCAGGGTTGACCGAATCCAACGGATCCTTTTTGCCCCCCCCCCCCCCCACCTTTTTTGGCACGAAAACTCCACATTTGACGGGACCGAACCTATGGGAATGCCTTTCCTCACACCTTCAACACATCAAGGTTTCTTCCATTTGTGCTTCATTCCCATTCAACTCATCCCAGTTTGGCTGTTACCGTTTCTACCATTGCAGATCACTGCGTGCCAAATAGCCCTGATTGGCACAGAAAATCCACATACGGTGAGACCAGACCGGAGGGATGAAATCCTCCCATGACGAGTTAAGACGGGAAGGACCACTTTCCCTCGAACATTCAGCATGAGAAGTATTCACTATCTCATTCATCTTTCTCGTGCCACTTTGACTGTTTATTCTTCCTGTCGACAATGGCTGCTGAAAGTGCTGCTCTAAAGCCCCCTCCACCCACTGGTCAAGATCGTAGGGCTGGCCTTCAGTAGACAAGACGGCTGACACTGGAACTTATTTCAGCACGGTCTGACAACGACGGCCTATTTCAAGATGTCAACTGGAAGAAGAAAAGTGTTTGGAACCGGATTTCGCAGCGTATTGCAGCAATACCTCCAGACGAGGCAGTACTTCCGCTTGCAGAGCAGTGCGAAAACAGGTGGAAGAACCTGATGAAAGCATACAAAGCCCATGTTGACTCCCAGCAGAAAACTGGAAATGAACATGAGCAACTGCCGGCTTTCTTCGACGAGATCAATGCAGCGTTCGGTTGGAAGCCAAATCTACACCCAAGATGGTTATTTTATGTTGTTGGTGGTCCATTGGTTCTTGTCACCAGACCTCCTAAGCGTTCAGTTGAATTCACAGATTCAGAACGACGATCAGGCTGATAACCAAAGTCATGTTTGATCACGCCTCAACCCACTGTCGTCGGTACCCATGCTACAGTGTGCGCATTGGCAGCTGAAGAAACCAATGCTGCTAATCATGATGCTGACAAGAAGGGCGTCACAAGAAGAGAAGGATGTGGTCTGGAGGTCAGTCCAGTGATGTCCTGAAATGGCTGAAGCAGACCAAAGACGAGGATTGAACATGGCAAGAGCGGAAGCACAAAGACCAAATGGTGATACTTGGCGATCTAACTGCAGCCGTCAATAAGCTTGCAAACCAGTAGTGGCATATCTTTTTTTTTTCTTGTAATATCCTATCCTACATGCAATCTCCAGCATGTTTGTAGAAATATGCTGGAGATTGTTTTTAAAGGGGAAGTTAAGCCTGAAATCAAAATTTCACCAGTTGTAGTCTTCGGGGTGCTGAGTCGAATGGTCTTGGTCCGAGGAAGCTGAGACGCTCCCTTCCTCCTTTATTCCCAATCAAACTCACGCACTTCCACCGAAACTGGGTGACTGCGCCCTACTAGATGGGGATTTGTATGCAAAATCTCACTAAAAGCGCCATTTCGTTCTTATAAAAGCACGGATGACCGCACGTGGCCCATATGTTGTAGTCTTTTGGATGCTGAGTCGACTGATTTCGGTCTGAAAAGGCTGCGATGCAGCATTCGGCCCTTATTTCCCAATAGAACATGGTTGGACAAACGGTCACATGCTCCTGCGTACACCAGTCACCTGGTCACCGAGCCAGCAGGCGACAACTTTCACACCAAGGTTCAACTCGAGTGACAGAGAAACTCGCCCAAACATGCTGTAAGTTGTAGCCTGCAGGCACGGTGACCAGGTGACTGGCGTATGCACGAGCACGTGACCGCTTGTTGAGCCATGTTCGATTGGGAATAAGGGCCGAACGCTGCATCGCAGCCTTTTCGGACCAAAATCAGTCGACTCAGCGTCCTAAAGATTACAACATATGGGCCAAGCGCAGTCATCCGTGCTTTTATAAGAATGAAATGGCGCTTTTAGTGACATTTTGCATACAAATCCCATCTAGTAGGGCGCAGTCACCCAGTTTCGGTGGAAGTGCGCGAGTTTGATTGGGAATAAAGGAGAAAGGGAGCGTCTCAGCTTCCTCGGACCAAGACCATTCGACTCAGCACGATCAAAAAGAACTCCTGGAACTAGGCCTTGATTTCGCTCTCTAGGCGGTCTATACTTTCGAAGCGCACTATAGTTCAGCTATCATAGAACACCTGCTACCGTCTACGGTACAGGGCAGGGAGGACTTAAAACCCTGGTACGGGGCATACACTGCCAATACAGTCAGACCTCGCTTATCCGGATCCCTCGACATCAGGAAGAAAATTGTTGGTTACCGATTTATAGCATATGTCATGCATACATACAGTATGCAGTGTTGCCACATCATTCTAGCCAAATATCAGTAGCATGAAAAAATAAAATGCATCATCCGGGGGCTTCGCCCCCGGACCCCCCCCCCCTCCCCTACATGTATATAGCGACCTCGATATACACACATGCGGCACTGATAAGAAAAAAAACATTTCACGGTTTTGCGTGACACTCGGGCCGAGTTTGCCGATTTTCACCGAGACGGATGATGTTTTCGCTTAGCGCCTCAGGAGAGAGCTATGGAAACACTCGTGCTGCGCAGTAAAAGTCAAAAATCTGGATCACGACTCCTAAACCATCCATAAGGTCAAACTTGAACACTTTCATGGCTGTTGTCGGCAGGAGAAGGTCAATTGTCGGCAGGTCGTGACATGCCTCAAAAATCGGCAGGCTACTGACATGTCGGCAGGTGTGGCAACACAGAGTATGTGTGTTCAATTATCCGGTTCCCTCGCCTATCCGGATGTTTTTTTTTGTGGAAAACGGACGTGTGCGGTTAAGCGAGGTCTGACTGTATTTAACTTGAATCATGTGATGTAGCTTGTCATATCGACTGGTTGTAGCCAAGGACAACCATGCTACCAGGACAACGGTGCAGAGATCATTATGCATGTGATAGCGGAAACAACCAAACCACCTGTTCAATGACACTCAACCCAACCCTGATCATCTGCTTCATTGCCTGATAGCTATTCTCAGTATACGAGTAGACAAGGATACCAGCAATGATTTCTCACGTGCACCCCCCCCCCCCCCCCCCACACACACACACACACACCAGCACCATTTTTGATGAACGGGTTGTGAGGTGCCGGAAGAGGATGCAGTGTTAGCAGTCACTGTGTGTGTGGTGTTACAAGCTACGAAGCTGGAGTCCGGAAATCAATCATTCAACTCAAATGAACGGTGAGTAAATGTTACCTTATTGATGTTGGTGTCTCAAAGAATGCTAGGAGCATGTCAATGATAACAACAGCTTGCAAACACCTGTGGCACGCATGCATACATACACACATGGGACACACACGCGCATGCACACACACACACACACACACACACACACACATGTGACAAAAAGACACAGACACACACAGACACAGACACAGACACACACACACAATCAGATTGCACTGTACATTTCCGCTAATCATGCCAACAGGTGTAGCACAGTCTAGAATGTGAACACAGCACAGGTGTTCTGTACATGGTCTTGAAACCACTGCTTATCCCCAGCACAGTGCAGAGTAAGATCAGTCTTTGCGAAGACATTAGGACTGTGTGCAACCTAACTGATCATAAACACCTGTAGGTAAACAGTGGTAGCTTCAGTATGGCAGACAGTAGTGTCAGGCACAGTCTCAGGGACAAAAACAGCATACCGGTAGTTTAGAACAGCCTTTCCGCTCATCTAGATCCAACACCTCATTCATTATTTAACATCCAGGGTGCTGTATACAGAAGCTTCATTGTATGCCCAAAAGAAAGTAATTTTGGAAACAGCAAGGCTTGCAGCAACATGTGCACCAAAACATCTTACGACTGGTCACAAACACTGCGTGACCAGTGCATACCATAAGACACTTGCATGGCAGGGCAGCTGTGCATGGCTTAGTTTGGCAGGTATTACAGCTGCACAGCCCACACCACACTGAATCAGGCAGTCAATTCCAGCATAGCAACAATCTACATATCAAAGTTCTTTGGAACTACATGCAGACAACGTGTATGCCGAAAACCTACAACACACCTAACATAATATATTATTATAGAGATTGCGACAGTGTGCGATCACAGTAAGAAAGACGAGCCAAGAGTCAGCTGCTTAGTGCAGATCTAGCTACTGCCAGTACATACCATTGCACAGGGCGTGTGTGATAAATGTTGTAGACGCGCAATGGAGAGCTGTCAATCTTGTGGTGAATAGATCGGAACTGAGGATGCACAAAACATATGCACCACACACCGTTTAAACACATAAAGTCAAGTAAGAACAAAAGATAGGCAGGCTCTCTCTCTCTCTCTCTCTCTCTCTCTCTCTCTCTCTCACACACACACTCACACACACTCACACACACACACTCACACACACACACACACACACACACACACACACACACACACACACACACACACTTGTACTTGAACTTGCTCACTGCCAGAAACTGATCGTGTGGGTTTCCCCGGGAGAGGGGAGAGAGATTCAAAAGGAATCTTGGAAAGATAACTTGACTGGAAATTAAACTGCCCACCGGCCATCCCCTCCTGAATCCCCACACTCTGAGTGGACTTGGAAATGACACCACTTACACACACACAGATGCACACACAGACAGACACACACACACACATACACACACACACACACCTCAGACCTGCCCATCGCAGAAGCGATAATAGCGAACAGTTATGGTAGACATAGCAACTTGTGCTGGGATTACACCATTCAACAGCTTGCAAGGCTGATGAATTGACCGCCACTATTTTTAGCCTGGCATCCACCACACAGCTGATTGAAGTGACTTTTTCTGGCCAGTGAATCCCTATTTTTCATTTTTCCATTTTTTTCTATACACACACACCACACCACATACTCCGGCATACACTGGCTGTTGGTAACCACCCAGGATAATGAAAGAAAAGTCACACACACACACACACACACACACACACACACACACACACACACACACACACTTGTTCTTGTTGCTCACTGCCAAAACTAGTCACGTGGGTCCCCCGGGAGAGAGACTCAAAAGGAATCTTGGAAAGATGACTCAATTGGCTATTGAACCGCCCAGCGGCCGACACCCCTTGAAATCCCCAAAACTCTGGGTGGACTTGAAAATGATCCCACTTATGGGCTCACCACACCTCAGTAAGTGGGTGAGGCCAAGGTGCAGAAAAAGGATTGACGGCATCAGGGTATCCGTCTCGGGATCCAACTGCAGTTACCCCTGCCCCCAGTGAAGGTAATACTTGCTACCAGTGTGAGTGGCTAAATCAGAGTGGATCTGATATAAGCGTCACTAGCACCATTGATTACACAAGAGTTAATCTAGCCAGAAGCAGTCCATGGTTAACAGGTATGTATACTTCAAATAGAACGTATATCAACCCTGAAACCAACGAAGGTGGCAGATACAACAATGCACCTTCAAGCAGCCGAGCCCGTTGGCAACAGACCCAACACAATCAGGCATATGTGTACCCACCAACCGAACTAGCTGACACACACACACACACACACACACACACACACACACACACACACACACACACACACACACACACACACACACACACACGAGTGCCAACACAACAGGGAACCCCAAAGTCCCAAGCACAAAGTAAGTTTAGGTGTGCTGCTCTGCTAATTCTGAATTGCTCGATAAGTACGTGTACATGTAGATGCGTATACTTCAAATAGAAAGTATATCAACCCTGAAACCAACGAAGGTGGCAGATACAACAATGCACCTTCTAGCAGCCGAGCCCGTTGGCAACAGACCCAACACAATCAGGCATATGTGTACCCACCAACCGAACTAGCTGACACACACACACACACACACACACACACACACACACACACACACACGAGTGCCAACACAATAGGGAACCCCAAAGTCCCAAGCACAAAGTAAGTTTAGGTGTGCTGCTCTGCTAATTCTGAATTGCTCGATAAGTACGTGTACATGTAGATGCGGCGCATGGTTACGTACAAAGAACTGGTGTAATGCAGCAACCACCTGTAAGTAGAATGACTGCAACAATAATACTGCAACTGCCAATCTGCACATTACCTGCACAGCATCCTCAACAAAGCATACGGCTTGCCGCACTGTTTCGTCATCTGTGCATAGACCAATGAGCACAATCATAGAATTCTATGACAGGAACATCACATGCAGTGCAATGGCATCTACAAGATACACACAAAGCTAATGAACAATAAGTTTACACTGCAACAATATTGCCTCGGACTGAGAGAGCTATCCAACTGGATACGTTGTAGTCAGCCAGGGAAAAGATCAACATGACTAGCTGACTCATTTCAATGACAATAAACTTAAAGACATGCTCTTTGGCAAACTACAGTGCACAGTGCTATTCAATGAAATTGGCGCATCGTGAGTCAGTTAACGTTAGCGCCGGGCACTGTGCAGCCCCAGACCTGCCAACACTGGGCTGTGAGCTGGTGCAGGGTGCTAGCATATTCACGAGTATGGATGATGTCATGCTAGCATATTCACGAGTATGGATGTCATTGAGCATGTACCTGTACTGCATGGGATCTAAGGACAGTGGCTGTAGTAAGTGGTGGTGATTCAACTGGGGTGAGATCTTGCAGAAATCATTGGGCACTTATTTACCCAACTGAGAACAATAATTCTTCGCCTGGTTCGTTCGCCCTAGCTCATGCACATACAGACACTATGCACTGCCCACAAGTAATCTCTATGGCTGTTGATTGGCTACCACCATGATTACATGTACATCATGTGCCATTGTGATAGATAATTGCACTGCCTACAAGATTGCAGCAATGCATCTGGTATCACTTTGCTCTAGAATGAGAGTGAGCAAGGCCAAGCAAGTTACTACGATTATGACCATCGAGTCAACATAATTACTGAATCACAGTGTGGCCATACACCACATGACTACGTAACGACTTGTTGTAAGCACTGCGTGTAGCCTCAGCTGCACAAACTGACTGTGCAAACAGAGCACAGCATTGCCAGTGCACCACAGATTGGATTTCCCAGGCCTGAAGTAACATGTACTATAAACTACACATATGTAGAGAGCAGCAGTCACTACTGAGCAGCAGTCACTACTGAGCAGCAGTCACTACTGAGCAGCAGTCACTACTGAGCAGCTGGCAAACTGGGAGTAACTGTTACTTCCTGTGTTTACACTGTAACTGCATAGTGCTACTTCTAGCACATATGTTACAATGTAGCTTTGCACTCATACGTGCACTGGACAACCACACATGTACTCACAAACCCGTGCCATAGCTCTGCACCATAGTTAATTCAGCGAACGTGCTTATGATAGTACACATACACTAAAACCGCGGTCTCCCATCTGGACAGCTCAGATACGGATGGGTCTCTTTATTGGGCACCTTCAGCTCAGTTCACTGTGGTATTAGTCACTAGCAGATTTCAATTTTTGACTTTTCCAAGTTTCTTTTTCCCATCATCTCCCAGGTTGAAACAGACTCAGTAAATGTGTGTGGTGTGTACCTACGTTGAGCTAAGAGGTGGTGAAGATCTGCGGCTGTGTATACTCACGGTCATGAAGTGCCAAGACATGATCGAAGCTGCCAGTGCCAGGTGTAAACATGCTAGTAATATCGTAAAGTACCGTTGATCCGCCCCCTGCCGAATTACTGCCCCCTGTCGAATTTCTGCCTGTGAAGGGACTTCGGGGTACCGGTACACGTACAATGAAGTACGGTGTTGGACCAACACATGCACTGCTGTATACATGTACAATACGTGCCAGCGCAGGATGAAAATGTGCACAGTCTAGCACACCGAGGCTGACCTTCCGCGCTGTTATACATTGTACTGCACTTGACAGTCGCGATCTAATTCCCGCCCCCTACAGAAAACCCAGCTGGGAAGCCACACGGCATGGCGGGATCAACGGTACTTTACAGTACAGTGGAGATTGGATATAACGACACTGCTTCGGGAGAAAGCAAATGTCGCTATATTCGATCTGTCACTAAACCCGATCTTCACATTTTAGTATGCAATATGTATATCAAAATGACAGAAATGTATTGCAGATATGCATGTGCATAATATAATGCATATGCCATATTATGATAATGGATTTCAGATGTGTATGTGCATGTGTAGTAGTAGCACCTCTCCCCTAACCTCTCTGACAGTACCTCCCTTTGGGGAGCGGCGTGGCCATTTCTGGCAGCTGTCAATAGTAGTAGTAGTAGTAGTAGTAGTAGTAGTAGTAGCAAGAGTCCATAAAAGTGTATGCACTCTTGGTAGTAGTACTGTAGTAGTAGCATGCATTGTTCAAAGCAAAGTCATCGCGTACCACTGCACTGCGGCCGGCTACAATGTGCAATGTAAAGCACACATTGAGTGACCCAGAGGTCCGGTCACGTGGCACAGCCATATTCCAGACATACCAGTCTGCCTGATACAAGACTCGAGAGGAAAGTCGTTATATTCGATGCATTTTCACTTTTTTTCAGGTCTTCGGGCACCCAAAAAGTGTCAGTAAATTCGATCTGTCGTTATTTTCGAGGTCGTTATACCCGATCTATAATGTACAGGAAGGACTTGCTAAACGACTTGGGCAACAAAATCTTGTCGCTAAACTCGATTTGTCGTTATATCCAAGGTCGTTATATCCAATCTCCACTGTACTACTGAGTACTAGCAGTACATATACATGCACATGTATTTCCATGCAAAGTTGTTGAACTCTAGAAGCACTGCCCGTTTTTTGTATCTTAGAATAACCCACCCCATACGTAAGTATACCATCATGCTGTCATTTAAAATCATGTTGCAAATTCAATGAATTTCCCCCCATTATCGTACCAACCATACAATTTTCACACACCAGATCAGAGTACACTATTAAAATGTGTAGCAGCTTGGCACCATATCATAGCGATATCACGACTGAAAGAACGTTGATGAAACAAAAGCGTTCACTCGCTTCAGACTCAAGGAGCAACACCATCATACTGTTTTCAACAAACCTTCAAGTGCTTCAGCCCTCCTTCGCCACGTCCAAGATGAAGCCATCTCGTTCTCCAAATATCCACCCTCAGATGACAAACTACTCATGTGTACTAAACATCACAGCTTCGAACACTAGTACACTGAGAAAGGTAAAACAACAAGAATGTAGTGCACTGCCTCGAACACACTCTTTTCAATTATTTGGCCAGCTTACATTTTTACAATGATTGTTGCAACCCTCTCACCATAAATTACCTGGCCATCACTATGCACTGAGCCATCAGCTGTCTCCAGGCACGCTGAAGCCAGCAAGTCACTTCAAATCAAAACATCAAAAAACGTGGAACGACGCACCGGGCTATCAGCTCAGCGCAATACTCGTACAGCCGCTACCCACAGCTTGCATGACCAGAGTCAGTTACCGTACACCTACGCCCGTACAACAATTACATAACTGTACTGTACTGTCTGTACGAGTAGATGTCCGACTCCGCATAAACGGTGTATACTTTTGTCATGTGACTCATTGGAATAATCACTTGATCAGGTCTGGTGAATCGTGGTGATTCAGTGGTGAACGTGATAACCATGATGGCATGATAACTGTCACACACAGCCAGCCCTGGCCTTCAAAACTTTGTTTGAAAATGAGCAAATAGTTGTAGAAACTCCCTCGTGCCTCGTGGTGGTCTCTACAAGTAGTCTACTACTAGTGTAAGCACAGTCCAGCAGTATTCTTGCGTTTTGTCTTGAACTGGAACAGAGACTGAGAGAGAAAGAGTCGATTTACTAGTAGTTCAATGATCTGAGTCTAGTCCGAAATCAGTAGAATGCGCCAACGTGGAATTGCTAGTGGGAAGGGATCGCCACAGGCTAGAGGCAGCCGTGGTCAGAAAAAGTTGATAGCGAAAGGTGATCATCAATATGGAAAGGATAATTTCTTCCTGTAAGTGCTCATACAGTATAACCAGGTTGTGGACTCTAGTCTTGAGTGTGTTGATGCAGATCATGATGCGTAAGCATGGAGAAAAATCTGGGTACTATAATAAAATTATTGAACTATTTACGCAGTAGTATATTCAATGTTTTGCAACTTAAAAATGTAGAATTGGGAACATAAGTAGTTTGCACCTTTCCCTCAAACGAATGAATCAGTAGATCTAAGGTGCAATTTTTCCTCTTAGACAATGCACGAAAAAAGCATGTGTATGTGTCAACTCACTCTGTACAATGCCAGGTAGGTGCGGCTGTGAAGCGGCTGCAGGATCTCCATGATGGCTGCCAAAGTGCAGGCGACGCCAAGCTACATGTACTCGCAGGGGGCTAGCTATGCCTGTGGTGTAATCGAGCTCAATGGGACAGAAGCAGATAGAGGCACGGTGCATTTTTCTTCAAGTTCCTTTCCCAGACCTTGAATACTCAGCTTGTACTATCATTCCGACTGTTAGAATTATGGTGTACTTGTACAGTGTACTGTTATTGCGGGTATGCCGGCCAGGACTTGTTGAACCTGGAATACATATCGAGTTTCTATCATCCCAAGAACATTGGATTTTGTGTCGCTGAGAGTACATAAAAATTTTATTAATAGTATAATGTCATTCGCATGTGTCTGTGTGCATTTGTTTGTGTTGGTAGATCATGTGGCCTTCCATCCCGGCTATGGCTTCTGCTTGCTGTAGCACTGTATGTTCTAACTCCTCTGTGTATATCCTACTCGTCAAATGCCCAACGTGCATTAACCTATTTAAATTATGGTAAGTAGCTAGCAGGAGGCAACCTGTAGCCTTTTGAAAGTTTTGTTCTGGGTCTGAAAGACTGAAGTGCCTCGCACCGAGGGAATTTTAGACTAGGATGTTATAATTATTTCCTGTGCGTAAGTAAAAGTGTGTGTTGCTTGTATTTGCTGGCATGCACTCCTCCCTCTCTCTCTCTCTCTCTCTCTCTCTCTCTCTCTCTCTCTCTCTCTCTCTCTCTCTCTCTCTCTCTCTCTCTCTCTCTCTCTCTCTTTCTCTCTCTCTATCTCTCTCTATCTCTATCTCTATCTCTATCTCTCTCTCTTTCTCTCTCTCTGTCTCTGTTTCTCTCTCTGTCCCTCTGCCTCTCTCTCTCTCTCTCTCTCTCTGTCTCTCTGTCTCTCTCTCTCTCTCTCTCTCTCTCTCTCTCTCTCTCTCTCTCTCTCTCTCTCTCTCTCTCTCTCTCTCTCTCTCCTCTCAATACTCATGCATGCAAAGTACACACACTAGTTCTGCAGCAAATACAATGCAATGTACAGGAATTAAGACTGTCATTCGTATCCCCTTGGTTGTGCTTCGAAACGTGAGGAGTGTCATGTCTCTCGCCTGCAATTATCGTCCAGTTCGATTTTAGTTCCAGCTCTCGATATCAGGCGGTTGATCGTGTCTTTGTTTTCTTTCATTGTGTTGAAAACACCACAGCTGCCCCACCGTTCTCCAATCTCTCTGACATCTCATCCTACTTGGGACCTGACCACTCAGGGCGTGCATTCTTTGTGAATGCCAGTCAATCTGGTCAGATTGGAACCTGGTAAGGGCTTTGACAGCTCCTTACTTTTTCCACATTGGTTCCTGTTCTTCTTGTTATCTGATCTTGGAATAATTGTTCTGTCTGTGCTCGTACGGTGAAGACTTTCCTTTGTTTGTACTGCATCTGTAGTGCGGTACTAGTGTGAACTTTGTTTTCCCTTCCTTTCCCCCTTGCAGGCATGTCTACCCCAAGGGTGAGGAAGTGCCATCTCTAAGTAACGGTAAACCTGTTGTTGTCTACTTCCATGGAAATGCAGGAAATCGGTAAGGAAGAGACATTGTTGTACTTGTGTATACATAGTATCCCATATGTCTTTGCAGACATATGTCTAGCGCCGACTCGATAGAAGCTCGCAACTCATTAGTCACCCCGGCACTCTACCAGTGATGGTGTCTCTCCTCTTAGTGGATACCACTGTTGGACGACACTGTCTGCAAACTTTTTGATAGTGGTGGCATCCTGTCCCGTGCAGAACCCATCTGATCAATTTTCACAAAGGCTTTACCAGGAACGGCATTCCTTTCAATCCCGACTGTGTATGTTTAACTGCCTCATAATGCCGCTCCTTCTATACAATTGCGGATTGTGGACTCTGTCCAAATTGCTGAACGACAAACTGGACAAATGGCAACGGAGGAAGCTACGCGTACTGCTGCAGATTGTCTACCCGCAACGCATCACCAATAACAACTTATACACAGAAACAAAACAATCTCCAGTTAGTGCCACATGTCGGCGACGCAGGCTGCTGTGGTTTGGCCATGTGGTGCGAGAGGGTCCGGAATCCGCCTCGTTCCAAGCACTGGAGCTATCAATCAACACGAACGACATAAAAAAAACCCGTGGCCGTCCGCCATTGCGGTGGATAGATACGATTCGGCACGACCTGAAGGCAGCGGATCTCTCCGTGGAGAGCGCTCTCCAAGCTGCAGGAGATAGACTAACTTGGCTTGACACTGTTGACAGATGCGTCGACTCTGCTCCTGTCTAACAGGTTCAGGGAAGATGCGAGCTGTGTTTATTATTATTATTATTTACCAGGAATGTGGAGGAGATTGTGTGCATGTATACGAGCACTATGAGGGGAGTATCACTTTAATTTCGAGTGTATTGTGTATGCACCTTATTGTCTCTGTTCTGGACAGTGGTCTTCGTCATCGTGTTGGCCTGTACAAGGTGGGTATGCCTGCTATACTGCTAGTATGCAAGGAGATGTGCAATGTTCTATTGTCGCAAAGGACACAGTCCCAATGGTGTCTGTCTCCACAACTCCAGCACAGTGCGAACCAAATCGTGAACCTAACAATAGCATAGAAACATAAACTTGATGCCCTCACGTAGTGGCGTTGTGTAACTTCTTGAGAGAGATATTACCTGCTCAGTGTTCAGTATTCACACTTCCATGTCTTCTCACCTGTTCTGCAGTTGAATACAATGTACCTCTTGGCACACTATTGCATGTGTTACTGTGTTCTCCCATTGATGTCTGGGTTGCTGTGGTAGTCCTTATGCAGATTATGTATGTCCATCACATTCTATAGCCACATACAGACAGCCATGTATGCGCTGCTAGCTAAAGACTCTGTCTTTGTTATTCAAGGCGCCCACCGTGTATGCTTATGCACTGACTCGCATTTTGCTCCTTGTACATGTACGCTAATGTTTGCTTACCTTCTCAGCTGCTGGCCAATCTTGACTATCATATTATTGCCGTCGACTACAGAGGTATGTCACAATGTTCTCTGAACTTGTTCAATAGATGTGCAAGATGCCGGAATGGTTCATTATTATGTTACTTGTACAGAGAGAAAGCCAAGTTTCAATTTTCACAGACCTCATCCTGGCTGGAATTGTCTTGTGTTTGAAATGTTTAAAAAGAGTTTCTCGAATATCACTGGTCATGCTAGAAGTCAGTTGACTGTTCTTGCATCTGTAGGCATACCACTGCTCTCGCATCATATCACACTGACACAGGCATCAGGTGTATGTATCTCCTACTGTGGTAAGAGGCACGTAGATTTTAAACCCACCACGCCAAATCATGAGTGTGTTGTTTTTATTCGTTTGTCGTGACAAGACCAACTGCTGTGAGTGCTAATTCATGTTCGTCGAGACCGACCTGCTTTTATGATTCTTGTATTGTGGATTAGGGTTTGGTGATTCCTCAGCTATTTGGCCCACCAATGAGAGTAAGTCATGAGCAGTATACATATACATGCTTGTATATGAAGATGTGCACTGTTTCGAATACTGTCTGTGAAGTATAAGTACCCAATGCTGTAGACAGCAAGCTGTTTTTGGCCATATAGGCCTCATCAGTACAGCTGCGAGCATGCACAATCGAAAAAAAAGTCATGTACATGTAGGAAAACTGTGCTGCTCATAGAATGCTCGGTGCATATGCAGAGTGTCCTTATGTAGAGCGCGCTCGCAGTGTTGTCTGACGAGCGCATTGGCCGTGCATCTCTCAGTGACAACATACAGTGGAGGCGTGTTACGCCTTGTGTGAAATCTGCATGATTGTATAGGAATGTTGCCTTATAGCTGGTTGACGGAGAATGAAAAAGGGCCTACTGGTGGTGATCCTGCATTATGCACGGACTGTAGTGGGTGTGCATGCGGGTGTGGGTGTTTGTGTTTTACGTGTGTATACCATGCCGGCATACTTACACATATCTATATTTAGTGTCCTTTGAAAGAGGCTGGTGTTGTTATCTCAAGCTCCCTAGATAGTTGGCTGTATAGTGGGAGGAGAACATTCACAGCACCAAACCTGCCACCGTGCTATTTGGATTGCAACATTCCTGGTGCACACAATGCTCCTTTGTTTAATGGTGTGTTGGGTGGTCTTTTGTGTGTGTTTACAGCTGTTGTTTCTGATGCCTTTGATGTGTATCAATGGGTTCGCCAACAAGCAACTGGGCCCATTTTCACCTGGGGCCACTCATTGGGAACTGGGTCAGTACTCATTTTGTTATTGGACCGATGCAAAATGTGTTGTTTCGTATCTTTACAGCTTTGTGTCCGTCTGTTTATTTGTCCGCTGCTCCCAGCCTAGTTGTAGTCCGTTTTGCTTATTTGGTACGGGAGTTCTGATCAAAGAGTTTGCTAGGGCTGTGAGTGGGATTGGTAGTCGTTAGAAAGTCCTGGCAATACTAGTATGCTGTGCTCTCCGTGTGTGTCTCTACTCCTCCTATACGTGGCAGGGTGTCTGTTCAGGCAGCATCACGACTTTGTGCTCAAGGTAAGACTTTATTCATTATTATATTTTGAAGGGAGTACATTTTGGAGGATGATTTTTAGAAAAATCATTCTCCAGTGTCTTGAGAATCACAGACTCAGTTAGGTTTCCTGCATGGACAAATTGTGCATACTACATGTACTCTGTTTTGTAGACATGTCGCGAGTAGACCTACACGATCTTATTTTCTGAGTTGTCCCTGCTCCGTGGTCACTTTGTGTGCTACAGGTACCTGCCCACAAGGTGTTGTTCTTGAGTCAGCCTTCATGTCTATCGAAAGTGCTGCCACGACACACCCTCTCGGCCGGCCATGGTCTTGGATACTGAGGTTCTATCCTTCCATAGCCGACCTATTCTTCCAACAGTGGACTGAGCAACTCAACTCCCTTGCTACGTGAGTACAGGAAGATATCTTTTTAAAACAATCGTGGAGTTTACAATAGTGTTGAAACGAGCGTATCTATAACAAACGAGCGATCAGTTCCACTAACGAGCAAGCTATCGAGCGAGTTAGCGAGTTTCATTGATGTGGCAAATATGATTTTTTGAATAAAAAAATTTCTAAGTTTGATTTTTTCAGCTCGTTCAAATTATCACCGCCGGCATTTGGGGTTGCTGCTGCTTCACTTCGGACTGCTGTTTGGTGTCAAGATGTCTTTTCAGCGCCGTCATCGAGTAGCCTTTGTAAGAATAGACCGTTTTGCGAAGATTGCAAGTAGCCCTGGTCTTCGCTGCATCGAAGGAGCAAAATTCAAAACGACTGAGTGTAACTTTCACTCGAATGGAGAGGTGACCCAAGCATATCCTGCAACAGGTCAGCAGATGCAGAACAAGACATCAGTAGAGTCCACCAAAGCTGCAACGACAACTGAAACAACTCGAGTGTGTCATGCAGGCATACAGTCACTGTAACTGCGAGTGATTTTCACTTTGCGCGGGACTGGACTCTCGATCGACCAGGGAGTCGTAAAATATTTTACGACTCCCGGCCCCGCGGGCCCGGTCGACATGTACTGCCATCAAGAGTCCATAACCCAAGAGTATGCAACTGTGATCTCTTTTCTATGGGCCAACCGCGCGGCGCGCTGCCTTCATTACATCATTCAGCTGCAGGCCGCGCACTGCGGAAAATCAAACACCGCACTTTCCCTCTAGTTTGAAATGAACTTTCGTACGGAACTGGAGTTCACGCGCCAGAATTCAGAGATTGTGTAGGTACTGGAACGAATCGAGCAAAAACGGATGGGCTCGTGCGAGAAATTGAGAGTTTGAATGCATGCTTCCAGAGCGTGATGAAGGCAAGTTACGTAATGAAGGCAGCGCGCCACGCATGCACCCATAATCACAGTTGCATACTCTTGGGTTATGGACTCTTGCTGCCATGTGTATGGAGTGCGGTGTACGGTGTTCGTTAGTGCAAACGAGCTGGCCTCACAAACGAGCCGAGTTTCTGGCGAGCGAGCTAACGAGTATCCGGTGAGATCGTTTCAACACTAGTTTACAAGCACACTTATTCGACAAGACAGACATGAACAAATGTTTAACTAAGAAACTTCAATCTAACATTAGATTTTACTTCCTCGTTATTGCTTCGTGTCTTACTGTATTTCATGCACAATTGACTAGTTTTTGCTTCCCGGTTCCCTTGGTTCCTGTGTGAAGCCACTAGTAACTACTAGTTCTTAAAAAGAGTCAATTTTGTGAATTGGTGTGAGCGTTTTGTGAGTGTTCTCCATGTCGGTGCACTGTGTATGTATGGTTGTGTGCAGAGCCGAACTAGTTACACACAGCGTGTCATTTACTCCCATTTCCAGTTGAACTTTCATATATTATGGTTGGCTGTATATTATCATTCTCAATCTCCTTGCTGGCCGGGTCTCATCAGCTGCTGATCTCAGAGTGACTGACCAAGCCGATCACAATGGGAATGATATTCTGTCTTTTCTGTCTGTTAGAATCACTTCAGTCAACAGTCCTCTGTTGCTGGTACACTCCAAGGACGATTTCTACATCAGCTACAAGGAGAGCGAACGCCTTGCATCGCATGCACAAGAGCACCGCAGTGACCGCAGTACAGTGGAACTGCACCTGCTTGAAGGCCATGGCCATAATCGAATTGTGTATGCTGAGTCACTGCCAGCGCTTGTCCAGTAAGCCCAGTACCAAAGTACTTATATAATAGCACTGTAAAATGTTATGTGAGCGCAGAATTTCCGTATTTGGAAGTGATCCCACCCACTATAATGTACTCTTTAGCATAGCAATTACTAGTACTTGAAGTACCATATTTGCCGGAGTATAGTGCGCACTTTAGATGTGCTATTTCAGGCCTCAACTCGCTGGTGCGCACTATGCTCCAAATATGAGAATGCATGCACTTCGAAAAGTACTGCAGTGCACAAACTCTTGCCAAGTTTGCCACCTCTGTCTCTGAGTGCCTGACCCTACACAAATCATATCCATACATATGTGGTGTCTTCTGCCAGCTACACTGCGAATGCATGATGGGTTTGAGACCCTGTACTGTACATAGGCTATAGTCAGCACTTGCCTTTGCAGATGTACATGTACACAATTTAATTATTTTTATGATATTTTTGTCAATGATCGTAATATAATACTGTCTTTGTAGCCCATCGTGTTCTCAAATCTAGGCTGCGCATTATACTCCGGATATACCTTGAGTTGCCAACACGTTGGTCCAAAACCGGGGTTGCGCATCATGCTCAGGTGCGCGCTAAACTCCGGCAAATACGGTACTTGGAGCAAGCAGTGACTTTTCATTGAGGAGCACATTGAAATCGTTCACGTGTGCGGATACTGTATGAAATTGCGGCGTGGGTGGACGGCACGCGGAGCTTTCTCCTAACTTGCGGTGCGGTGAAAGAGCAAACCTGACGTAAAGTGGCAGGTACATGTATCTGTGTGACGGCATCCATTTCATGTAGGCATCTTTACTACAAAGTCATGCAGCACTTCAGATATCTTATTCTTTTTGCTTCCCATTGCTGTCTCTCACAGGAACTTTGTCACGACCCGCGGCAAGCCACCGAAGTGAAGACTGGGCACCTACTTGATCTGATCACTGCTGAGTACTGAGTTTCACGTGTTGTCTTGCACTCGATGAGCTTCAAATTGCATGCCTTACATTGCTTTGGACTTGAGCCACTTGACTTGGCTACTTGGTTTAATTGTCGCCCGCGCTCAGTCAAAACACTGAGTTCCTTTTTGGTTTATTTACTTTAGTCATGTGAAATTATACGGTTTTGTAGGAAGTATTATATTTTCGCTGTTATGATCAAGATGCCAGCCATGACCATGGGCTTTCCCTTGTTTTGTAATGACTAATGACCATAGTTTATCCCGAAGCATACTGTGCTTTGTGACATAAACCCTGTAGAATGTTTTTTTTTTAATCTCCTGGGGAGAGTATTAAATTTATATATTTGATTGCCTGTGGTTATAGCTCTAGAACTCCATCATTAGTGTCATCTAACAACCCGTTTCGAAACCCATCCATTCTCCTTCGATAACACACACACACACACACACACACACACACACACACACACACACACACACACACACACACACACACACACACACAGAGTCTATGGACTGAATATGAAACAACATTTGTTTCAGATATCTGAAATAATTAATTGATAACTTCCTCAATTCCACAAACACACACACACACACACACACACACAGAGTCTATGGACTGAATATGAAACAACATTTGTTTCAGATATCTGAAATAATTAATTGATAACTTCCTCAATTCCAGGGTGTGTTGCTGGATGGTGTTTGTTTTCAGTGAGGTGGGTGTGTCAGGGAAACTGCGCCTGAGTCGTAATGGCATATTATGTGATTTTTGTCATTGATCCATAGAGGGTGGTGGTGTTCCTGCGGATTCGGAAAACCCGGCCTCCAGCCGAGTCTCACACGAACAATGAAATTTATTTTTATTTGCCATAGTTCACCATGAACCCCTGGGGAATGTTCTCTTGTCATTTTGTGTCAGGCTGAGATCAAGCATGTTGTAGAACAAGGTACACTGTTCAGCGTTATAATTATGGCTAACAACTACAATTTGTACATGTAGGCTAGCAACAGGAAATGCACCCAATGTTTTGCGAATGATCAGGACACAGTGCTGAGAGTCGACAATTTGTTGAGTTTTGCAAGCACATCATGACGTGATGTACAATGTATTGCTCGTATTGCAGGTGATTATTGAAGAAGTCGATGACCCGATGACGTGAGTGGGTGTACATGATGACCGTGCGTATGTACATGTACTGTTTGTATACAATGTACTCGACGAACATCTCTCCTTCGGAGAGCACGTTAGCCAACTAGAGCGGAAAGTTGGAAGTAAGTTAGCCATGTTCAGAAAGGTCCGAGATCACATGACGGTAACTGCGAAGCGTGCATTTTACATTTGTTCCATTCAGACAGTACTCGAGTATGGGAGTAACTCATTTGCTCATTGCTTGTCAGTAACTCTTCATGACCGTCTAGTCCGTCTTAGTAATAGAGCTCTACGCATTGTGTTCAGTATGCCTCGCTTTTCTGACGTATCCCTTGTTAATGCACGCCATCACATTCTCCCTTTGTCTGTGCGCTATCAGTTCAAACTCTATATCTTAGTGTTTCGTGTCCTGAATCAGTTAACTACTACTCTCCTTACTGATTGCTTTTGCCTTCGTTCTACTTCTACTCGTACCAATTCCTGCACTCGCTCCCAGGTATCTTCGTCTGTCACTCTACCAAAAGCTAAAACTCGTTTCGGTCTCTTTTCAGTTTCTTTCATCGGTTCCGACCGTTGGAATGCACTCCCCGCTGCAGTCCGCTTATGCTCTTCACTGCACCTATTCCGTAATTCACTACTTTCATTTCTAGGGTACCCTGTAAGAAGGCCTTAGGCCTGTGGGGATTGCCCTATCAAAAAATTTGATAATAATAATAATACACTGACATGTAGATCTACCATATGGTAATTATTGGTATGATTGTGTACGCCTACCGTATACGGTACCGGTACTGGCGGTAGGTCTACGGGGCGCGTACGGTGCATCGTTTCCGCAAGGGGAATCCCCACGCAATTTTGAAAATGACACGATGAACATGAAGTCGAACTCGATCAAACTAGTGTAGACTACTACGTACTAGTGTATGTTACTTTCAAAGAAAGAAAAGTAGGAATCTTGTAATTGTGCAGACGACACTGACGACAGAGTACAGCAGCAACATTTTCGGCTTTATGAGACCTGATCTTCCTCATGCATGTGGTTGCCACTACTCCTTTCGTGTATAGTTTGTGAAGTGTAGTATTGTAGGATGTATTTGTCGGCGTGCATATGCCTATTACTAGCGTTGGTGCTGGAGTTTGGCTGGCGATCAGCTAGGAGTATGTCGATTTGGGTGAGTTTTACTGGGCCATGTACATGAACATGTACTATCAACCTTGAAGCTTCCACAAACGCTGTTCACATTGAAAACGTCTGCATTCCAAACACACCACTTCAATTTGTAGTATGCAGTGCTGGCATTGTAATTATTATATCAAGTGTTCAGATTTCTTTTTTTTTAATTGTTTCAATCAAGTCTGCTGTAAAGCAACCAAGTCCAAAGCATGTGTGTGTGTGTGTGTGTGTGTGTGCGTGTGCGTGTGTGTCTGTGTCTGTCTGTGCGTGTGTCTGTGTAAGGTGGAGCAGTATAATGGTTGTATTTTGTTTCTTCCGACTTGCCACGAGGTCAGTGGTATATACAAGTGGATGTGGCTTATACTATGTTCTATGTTTGCTCTGTGCTCAATAGATTGCTACGGTATATTCTGGTCCGTGCCAGGCAAGGCAAGAGCTGGCTTCAGTTGTCTCAGAGCTACAGACTGTGTCTGTTCAGGTTAGCACCTGGCCTTTACAATGCGGCATTCTCGCGAAATAACGTTACTGTAATGCCCTCACTGTACATGATTACCCGATCATTTTGTTCATTGTGTGTGTGTGTGTGTGTGTGTGTGTGTGTGTGTGTGTGTGTGTGTGTGTATGTGTGTGTGTGTGTGTGTGTGTGTGCAAAAATAAATATTAAAAGTTATTAAAAGCCTCCTTTTGTGGACCCCATTCGTGACAGTCCCACTTTCACCTGAGCAAGTTGTAAATGCATTTTGTAATCTGGACACAACCCTATTCAGGACAGTTATGAGTCCTATGACCGCTCCCGAGAATGTCCCTACTATAATTAATTATAAGACTCACACGTGTGCTTGTGTGTGTGTGTGTGTGTGTATACATGTGCAGGATGATTTCGTGAAGCATTCCAAGCTGAAGAGAAGGATGGCCAAATTGGAAGAGGAGTCCTCACAATACGGTATACTGTCATTGCTCTTATGATACCGGTATCTGCTTTTCAAATGCATCCCATTTCTTAGTGCTGGAATCACACAGTCACAGGACCTCGGTGTTGCGGCGATTTGTGACTATCACATGACCAATGAAACAGTGTAAAAACCTGAATCTGTTCTTTATGCGCATTTAGAATCCTGTAGAACTTAACAATTTCATTCATCTTGGGCACCCTGTAGTGTAAGAAGACCTTAGGGTCTGTTGGGAATGCCCAAGTAAAATAATAAAATACAATAGAATACAATACAGGACGCTTCACGCAGCTTCATAACTAGAAAAGGTTTGTGATCACCACTGGCCCACACTCAATCACTGCGAAGTTAAGTGCTGGCCAATGGTGCTCGCTACCCGTTTCTGTTTATGAGCATGTTATTTTTTACACAAGGCCGCAGGCTATAAATTTTGATGGTGCGATGACAGGAACGTTGACCAAGTGGTGCATGCATCCACGCAAGATCGAGCATGTTGTTGACAATAGTTTACGATGTTGAACTCGGTTTTTTCTCTTAACTCTGCTTTTGTAGGTAAACTTGTGCTCAAACGTTCCCTCTGGTTAATTGTCCCTATCTATAGTGTACTGGTAAGTGGTGTTTGTCATTGAAGTTTGTTGATGCACGCTATCTTTTACTTGGTATGGCTGTTTGAGTCCTGTTGTGAGTCTGTGGAGTAGAGCAATGATGATACGAATGTAGTGCTTGTCTCTTTCTATTGAACAAGTTTCTGATCTATTCAAATGTGCCTGTGCTCCACAATAGGTGATGATGTCACTGGGCTATGCGGTGGTTGTGCGCACCGCTGCTGCTTTCCACTTACCTGAGAGCTGGGTGTACCCATTCGGATCGCTATTGGCATTCCCTACAAGTCATGAAGGTAGGATTCTTGCTAGTGCTCCTCTTTCAACTTGGCTTACCAGTGTGTGTGCGTGTGCGTGTGCGTGTGTGTGTGTGTGTGTGTGTGTGTGTGTCTGTGTGTCTGTGTGTCTGTGTCCCATATGGTGCAGTGGTATGTGCAGCGATTTCCAATCGATAGCTGCGGGTTCGATTCCCGACGATTATGGTCACACACATCTGTCTTCTCTTTCTCAAACTCCTCCTGGCTTTTCTTTCATTCTCCTGGGTGGTTACGAACAGCCAGTGCATGCCGACGTATGTGGTGTGATGTGTGTGCGTGAAAAAAAATGAAAAAAGACCAAGAAGTAAGGATTCACTGGCCAGAAAAAGCCACTTCGAAGCTTCATAGCTGTATGGTGTAGACCAGGCTGAATAGTGGCGGTCAATTCTTCAGCCTTGCAAGCTGTTGAATGGTGCAATCCCAACACCAGCTGCTATGGCTTCTGCTGTAGCATCGGAACGCCAGGAATGCAGTGTTAGTTTTCTCTGCGGTGCCCTACAACTTGAATGGTGTTTGTGGGTATGATGGAAAAGTGTGTGTGTGTGTGTGTGTGTGTGCGTGCGTGTTGTTGTTTCATGACAATGGCTGGGGAAAGTGGTTGCTCCTCACGCTAGAGGGCGCGCTTTTCCTCCGACTTGACTTGACACTCAACGGAAAAGGGCGAACCCCGGTGTGGGGAGCATGAAATTATCGCCACAGTCGCTACTAGTATTCTATGGCAATGGCTTGTTCATGAAACTTGTAAGATTTGACTCTGGCACTTTGTCACTACTGCCAGTGAGTGTAGTCACACTGAGGGGGGGGGGGGGGGGGGCTGTTTACAGGAGAAAAATAAACCCGGGCTTATTCAACCCCAGGCCTACGATAAGCCCGCCTTGATCTGTCACCCAGTCATTTTAGAGCGCGCGTTTACATGGCGAGGCGGGCTTATTCAACTCGCCCCGAGCTGAACTAGCCCTACCCTTGACCCTCGAGCTTATCCAACCCCCAGGGCGTATAAGCGTGTTTTTCCGTATTTTTGGATTTGCGTGGTGAACCAGAGAGGATGTCGCCACAGACAGTGCGTCTCTTTTGTTTCTTTCTTGGCATTTTTTCTGCTGATTTTTCGTTCACTGGAACGTCCTATAGCTATAGTAGCCCATCCTTCACCTTCTCGAAAAATAGACGGTCCCCTTGGAAATTCGCGATTCCGCGCCCACGGCAAATTCCGCGATTTTCGTAGGTTTCCGCGAATCTAGCATTTTCCGTGGAAATCATGCAATTTTCAGTGAATTCATGAGCCCACCCTGTACAGGTTTTCATGCATGGTGTGTGTTCTGTGCGCTGCTACGTACACTTCATGGTGTACGCGAAGTGCGTGGCTGTGATCTTTTGTCCCCAGGGCCGAACTTTGACATCGCACTGTTCTTCGCGCTTCGAAATTCCTTGCTTTGTCCTCCATCCACGTTTTTGTGGTCCATAATTAGGGAGGTTTAGTCCCACGTAATCCATGGGTACTTTACGTGTGTGTACCACGTGATACTCAGTGACCCACGTACAGACGTTTTCTGATTCGCGACATACCGTATATAGAGGCTCACCCACGTTCCGCTGGAACGTGGGTGAAAATCAGAATGGAGCGCATTGTGCGAGCTGTGAGGGTGCTCAGCTGAAGAAGTTTCCGAAGCACGGAATCAAAATATTGTATGAGCTTCTTAGGCCCGGGTAGCTTTGTCTTTGACCAGGTTTGGGCCTTTCGCTTCATGCTTTTGTTTGTTCCGTGTGACTAAACACATTGTTACGTGGGTGCCCTTCATCCACTTTACGTGGATCACCCACGTACGCGTTTGCGTTACGTGGGAACTAAACCTCCCTACTATAGTTGCAAGATACTGCAGTTTCCGCAAATTTACTATATCTGGCCCACATTTTTCCCTGTCTTCGCCCGCAATTTCTTGCGCATATTTCTGAATATTTTTCTCACGATTCAGAGGGACAGAATAGGTGACAATTGGAAGGCAGTAACAGCATGAGTCGGCACTTCTTGATCCAAATTTTCATCATACACGAACATTTACCACTGCATTCATGTGCGATTTGAAAAATAAAATGCGCGCAGAACTCGCTGTCACTCACCTGAACTCTGCCCCGTACAACCATCATGAAAACGGTTGAAAAATAAGACCGGGCTTATTTTTTCTCATGTAAACTGCCCCCGGGTAGCTTCAAAATCAAGGACACAAGGCGATTGAGGTCACCCATGTTCGAGCTTACATGTATGTATACCGGTATGTGGGTGCACATGTGCACGTGTTCTTGTTCCTTTGTTCCTGCAGTTGGTACTGTAAGCATGTGGTGGTGGTTGGCAGCGTCAAGGCAAGTGCTCTACACCGCACGCAAACTGGTCTCAGCATCCAGATGACCCATAGTCTAGACTTCCACTGTAAAAAATGTAGTGGCAATATAATTATTATATTGCCACTGCTGCTGCCACATATCTTGAACACTTTACCATAGTGAGTCATAAATAATTACGCTGCTTGTGGAATATTAGAAGAGGATCAGTCATCTTACTCCATGTTTCTGAGCATTCGGCACACTGCAGAGAGAACCACACTGAATATAACAAAACAAACATCCACATGAGACAATGGAACAAAAGATACAGCCTAAGGCTGTGTTTACACGAGAAATTTCAGCCCGGGTTGCCGTTCAAACCTGGCGCGAGATACGCACAGAAGTACTCGCCCCGATTTCAACCCGGGTTGAAACGCCTCATGTAAACACAGCCTTTATACAGAACCGCACTAAATAAAACAAAACAAACATCCACATGAGACAGTGGAACGAAAGATACAGCCTTACAGCGTAGAAGTAAGCACAAAAGAGTGTCCTTTAATATCCTCTCTATTATCATGGATTATGTGTGCGTATGTGTGCGTTTGCGCGTGTGTGTGCATGCATGTGTGGGGGGCAAGTAAATGAAAGCAGAGTGCACCTAGTTGTGATGATGCGTTGATATAACCGGTAGATGAATCAGTTAGAAATCCAGGGAGACTGGATAATCTTCATTCAAGCATGCCATACAATGTCCAGATGCTCCTTCCTTTCGCACTCCGGACTGTATAGTGGTTTTAAGGCCGTCGATAGATAGGTACACAAGACTATCAGCACCCAGGGATTCGGCAAGCTGGTCGGCATTCTTGCTGTTGGCGATTAGCTCGTTATGTGTGGGAATGTTGATGCCCATGAAGCAGGGGTACTTGAGCGGTGGTGATGCAACACGGACATGCACCTGCAGGAAAGAGTGAACACACACACACACACACACAACAAGGCAGAATCGTTATAACTTAATATAAGGTAGAGCAGACAATGCCATTGTACAGGCAGAAGATACTAGTAGCATTCGACCTGGAGAAGGGACGGGATTAATGGCACTTTACGATAGTACAAGTACAGTCGACTCCTGATATAACGAACACCATTGTGCAGAGGAATTATTTCGTTATAGCCGAAGTTTGTTATAGCAGAAATGCACTCACACTATACAAGCAGCAAATCATGACTGACATATTCATATTCCCCATGACATGTCTACAGTATGACTGCACTTGGTTTATATGGAGCCCTACAAGATTTGGTTCGAAAACTGTTCGCTATACAGTCGTCCCTCTCTAATCCGGCACTTGTTTATCCAGCACCCTTGCAAACCAGCACACTTTCTTGCCAAACCGATTTTTTCAGTTCATTTTCTACGCTTTAATCCGGCACTTGAATTCCGCCTCCAGCAGCGATTTTCTGCAACAAATCGCTTAAACTGTACATAATTCGATTTTCTAATCCAGCAGTTGTACATCGCATACCGTCAGAGAGCATCGCAACATACACAACACATGTAACATACACTTGGGAATATCTTACGCCAGTGCATAGGATATTCCCAAGTGTATGTTAAAGACATGCATTCCACAAAGTACTTGGATTGACACAGAAAATCTCTATGTTTTGACGTACGACACAAACATGTATGTTAACAGGTTGGCCGGGTTGGAGGGCAGGATTTGATAATCCAGCACCCTTGTTTATCCAGCAGAAAATGCCGTTGCAAAAGGTGCCGGATTAGAGAGGGACGACTGTATAGGGTCATTTTTGTATGGGATCAAACAGGGGAACATGGACAATAGTTCGCTATATCACGAAATTCGTTCTATGCAAGTTTGTTACAAGTGGAATCGACTGTAGTATAGATACTACTCAGAGTATGAATTTGCAGTAAAACTTGGCAAGGCCACCGCCTACCCTAGAGGGCCGGCCATTGCAACCAGGGCCAAGAGATGCCACTTCCAGTCATTTGGACCTAGTATTCAGCAGGCTCAGAAAGGGTACCCGGGTGTGGGAAGTGCGACCAAGAGAGGGTTGAGCGGACCTGTACAGTCCATATGTTGCCGTCGCAACAACAGCAGGTGCGGCATGACCTTCCATGACACAAGGCCCAAATTAGAAATGACGTAACTAGTTCCACACCACTCCACCTATTCTACATACAAAAAAATCACCCTATGCGTGTCACAGGGTTCGCGCACCGTATATTTCGGGACATAAAAAACCAAGATTACATTGTTTTGTGGTGTGTAGAGGACTTGTCACGGGTATTTTCAAGCGACCAATCATAGACGCACACACCACAGCAAACTGTCGCCGGGGAAAATTAATTTTGTTGAATGAAAACATCGAAAGACTTTGCTTGCATCACATGATCGAAGTCTTGCCACTCCCGAGTCTGTACATCTGAGTAGCAGGCACATCACTTGAGGACTGAAGCGTATGCATTTCATGATGAAAATTTCCTTTCCATTCTCGCAACCCTCTTCTTTATGAAGAACTAGCAGCACCCCCGGCCAGCGTTGCCTGGCCGAATGTGGCATGCGGGTGAAGCAAGTACATGAACAGCACACGTGCTCAGCACGTGGTGGTGGCCAGACCGCTGAAGTCCTGGTGAGCTTGAGGGAGGTTCTTCATCGTTGGAAGGAGAAGGAGGGACGTCTGTGACGCCTTCGGGAGGCTGGTCAGGGTTGTCCATCACCTGGTGGCGGATGAAGCGGCTCAAAAAATTCATAAAATTACGAACAAAAGTGCGATGCGCTCTTCACTGCAGATCAGATGCAGAGTGCAGTCAGTGCAGATCTTTTGTATCCTTTTGTTGCAGATGTTTCTATTTGCAGAGAACGGTTCACGTGGTCCGCAGCGCTTGTGCGGCTGCTAGTGCTACCTATGGCCTAGGCTAGGTATAGGTGGCTACATGATTCGCACGCTTCGCGTGCTCAGTGCTTCTGCGCGCGGCTGCTACTGCTACTCGTACTGATCGTCACAGGTGCCTCTTCTTTATAAGTAAAGATAGGCAGTTTTCTGGCAGGCAAACCAGTAGATTGGCCAATTCACTTGCAAATTTACCAGAAAGGCAGAAACTGCAAATTACCCGCTATTTACAGAGAGGTTCTGCACTACGTAAAGTTGAGCAACTTTACGTTAGTGGGCGGGAAAAACCCGTGAATTCGCGAGTTTGAACTCCACTTACGAAAAGTTGTCTACGTAGAGTATGTAGATAGAGCTCTGATAACATAGGTGCTCCGTAAGTGGATTGGGGTACAGATTTATGACTCTCTCCCCATGTCGATCCGGTCGTACACTGCCGCGTTCGGAGTTGCCAGGGGCAGCTACGTGATTTGAAAACTCCGTATGGCGGAACACAGATGCGCATGCAGTTTACGTACCAATTTCCGTAGATCGACTACGTTTTTTACTAACATAATTACGTTATGCAGAACCTCTCTATTTTGCCACGAATTGTGCCAATATTGACCGCAAATTATGCCATGAATGTTGAGCTTTTCTTCCGCTATTTCCCCCAGGGACAGAGCAAACAACCGCAGCCGAAGAAGTGCAGCACGTTTGTGTACCTTCCACGTACTTAATCCCAGAGTGCATGCACGCAGTGTAGACTCTACCACTGGTGACACGCTTTTTTAGTACACTGGTCATGCTGACTATGCATCAAAGAGTACAGTGAAGATCGTATTGCCTAAAAAATGAATTTCAAGGTTTTTTCAGGACACACCATGTATTTCCATCAGATTCCATCAGGGTTTCCGAGTATATTCTTTACTGGAATTTTTTCCATATTTTAGGGTTTTCAAAGGCTGTACCCTGTACGGACCCTGTGTGAGACTCGGCTGGAGGCCGAGTTTTCCGCATCCGCAGGAACACCACCACCCCCAAGGATCAAGGCACAGATGCAGCTCCTAAAGCGGTGGGAGGTGAGTAGATCAGCCCCACCGCATACAAAGATAACACAGAGACAAAGATGGACTGAAAAAGAACTCACCTCTTTGGCGCCTTTGCTTTTCAGCAAACGCACTATGTTTCCGATGGTGGTCCCTCGCACAATGGAATCGTCGACAAGGACGACACGCTTGCCCCTGAAGTTCTCTTGCAGTAAGCCAAACTTCTTGGTGACACCTGTGCGACGAAGGCGCATGCTTGGTAAGATGAAAGTGCGGCCAACGTACCGGTTCTTTGTCAACACCTCAACGTAATTCAAACCTAACTGATCTGCGAAGCCCATTGCAGCCGGTGTTGCCGACTCCGGCACCGTACTCACGATGTCAGCTTCGACTGGAGCTTCAATGGCTAATCTCCGGCCACAGCGGAAACGCGCACTGTAGACCTGTTGACCCTCATGTACTGTATCAGCTCGGGAGAAATACACATACTCAAAGATGCAGAACGCTGGTGGCTTGCGGTCATTGGAGCCTGGTATGCATGGTCGATCCACAATACATTCCGTCTTCATACCAGAGCGCCGCAAGCACACAATTTCACCGGGAAGAACTTCACGCAGATACGATGCGCCCATGCTCAGAAACGCACACGATTCAGAAGCAACAACCCAGCCAGAAACGGAGTCCTCACCATCTTCACCGGGAGCACATACTTGCCCTAGACAAAGCGGTCGATTGCCAAACGGATCCCGCACTGCATAGACTTCTTCACCGACCATGATGACGAAAGAGTAAGAAGTCTGTGATAGAGACATGAAGTGACAAATACGAGCTGGCCAATCGGGTTTGCTGCCCTCCTCTTTATCAGGCTTGACGGTGAGGAGCTGCAAGATGAGTTCACTGTCACTCTGAGAAGTTAGGCCCACGCCACGCGACATTACATCCTGGCGCAGCTTTCCAGCATTGACAAGCTCACCATTGTGGGCAAGCGCAATGCGACCATGCACTGAATCCACGATGAATGGTTGGCAGTTGACTAGCTCAGAAACGCCGGATGTGCTGTAGCGAGTATGCCCAATGCCCGCAACACCAGCCAGGCGCTTCAACTCTTCTTCAGAGAATATATTCGAGACCATGCCCATGCCTTTGTGCTTATTTAGAGAAGTGCCGTTAGTTGTTGCCATACCAGCGCTCTCTTGGCCACTGTAAACACACACACACACACACACACATGTATATACACATACACAGAGGTGAGCACGTGTGTGCATACACACAAATACATGCGCACACAGTGCTGTACCACAAGTAAGTTTTATAGTATGTTTTACACACTTTACTAATATGGACCAACAGTGATGAAACGGATGGTGGCCATAAGGCCAGTGGATATGAAGGAAACTGGAACTCTGAGAACGTGTCCGTGCACACCTGTGTAAATCATCATAACAACGTACATGTGCTCTGAAATTCAGCATCAAGCAATACAATGACATGACTGTACTGGTTGGTATTTTTTATAGTAGGCCTACGGTAACTAAACACAACAAATGTTTTGGCAAAAAAGTGAATGCGAAAAGGTGGTCCAACTACTGCACGCAATGTCCTGGCAACTACTTTGCACAAAGAAATCCAAGTGACAATAATGTAATGCGAACAGGAATTCTAACTAACCGGTGTTGTAAAGCAACCATTCCAAGGCAGAGCAGCGAGGAAACTTCTGTTTCTTGTAAATTTGAAGAAACAACTCCAATGACACCACATGCATCATGAAGGACATGTTCCTCTTCTTCATCGTAGGCTATTGTGCCTCGCCTAGTTGAAATGGGGCACGACATGTCTGCGAGGCAACGAGACTGAGACTCGCGAGAGCTTTACTTCTCTCTCATTCTGATTCACAAAAGAAACAAAAACATTGACTGTTCGATGCAGAACACAGCCAGTGCAGAGTCAGCAGTCTCTCTCAGCACTGCAGTTTCTTTTGGCCTTTTTTAGGGAAAGTTTCACATGCACGCTGTGTGAGAGGCTCACTGAGAGCACTGAGAGGCCGGATCCTGACTCCTGAGAGCTGAGAATCACACGTCATTATGGTCACGCACGTGACATGTGCACAATCAGTATGAAATCGAAAGCGCGCTTTTAGTACAGGACCCGGTACCCGGCGCCCTTGCTTGATCATTTTGATTGATATGACGTAGCAAAGAATACTCAGTACAATGCTACATGCCACGTACATCTACCAAGCAGGGAGTCGTAAAATACCGGTATTTTACGACTCCCTGCTACCAAGGAGCTTCTCGAATGACTTGTCATGTACAAATTATAGATCTACATGATCTCGTAGGCACTGCCGGTTGATCATGAAGGACTCTATCCTAGGAGTAGGGGGGAAGGGACTAGACTAGATAATACTACTAGAGTCACTAGACATGACAAGTATGGCCTACCGAGTGGGCATGGGGTCGGCCATGTGTGTCGGTTCCTGTCAATGACAATGCCATGGTGATCGTTGTGGGCCATGGGCGATGGCACCAGTGCGAATGTTTTCCTTCCGTGGAGCCAGACTACTGAACACCGCCCTGCTGTTCAGCGTTTCCGTCTTCTGCGGTGTCGTTGTTGGCTCGCTATTGCACATACTATACCAGTATGCACCGTGTAAATCGGCTAGTGACGATGCGCACAAAGTAATTTCGGAAAGTGCGTCGAAAGCGGACGGAAACGATTCCCTTCAGCGGCAGCAATCGCAAGAGGAAGGACGCAGAATCGCATGGCACTGCCAGTGGCAGAATGGCGGAGCAAGAAAATCAGGGTAAGATATCAGAGAATTTTTTACATGATTCTACAGTCGACTCCTGAATCCTGATATAACGAACACCGTTATGCAGCCAACCGAAGTAAGTTCTTTATAACAGAAATGCACTTACACCAAACAAGCAACACTTCCGATGATGACTGTGATGTGGCCCGCAAATGACTATGATTGTATTACTACTACAATCATGTGTCATATGTAAACTTGGCGTGCATGCAGCCCTACAAGATATGGTTCGATAGAAACGAAAGTTGTTCGCTACAAAATATCATTTTTCGTATCCGGGGTTCAAATAGGGCCGTGGACAATACGGTTCGCTACATCACGAAGTTCATTATACAAGCTGATGACAAGTGGAGTCGACAGTATGATTGTAGTGAGTGACGTCGTTTTAAAGTTCCAGCTGTGTACTGCACACGGCCGTGTTCGGACATATGCATAGCATGCAACCTTATAGCAGCCGCGCTGAAGCAGGCGTTCACGGCCCGTGACCCATGACTGACAATATGAGCAGCTAACAATATGAGCAGCTAACTTAGCTCAGCAAATTCATGATGATGACAAGCCTAACGAAGGGTCCTGAGCTGTTAGCTCTCCTGTTGCATTACTGATTGGCATCGTTTTGAAGTTCCAGCTTTGTTGTTCACGTGGCCATTCTGTTAGCATCCATAGTACGCGACAAAAATATGATCTTTGGTTTGAGGAAGGTGTGTGTGTGTGAATGCTGTGCACTGTACTCACAGGGCATCACAGCCAGTGTGGTATAAGGACATTCTCAGTGATGCACAACCAAGCATGCCAGCTAGTCGTGTACCAACTGAGTCGGCAAGCAGGCACCAAGGCAGCAATGAACCTGAACAAGGCGCCGAGGGTCACCTGGACCAATCTTCGGACGGCGCGGCTGTGTTCGCAATACTCACCGACAAAGCCAGTGTTGATGATCGCGTCATGAATGGTGCAGTGCTGTCATGGGCCAGTGTTTTACTGCATCGCCGTCTTGCTAAGGCCATGCCAGGTGAATACACATTAGCTCACAGTGCAGACCATGATATGCATCACCTCATTGTTATGTGCCAGACATGCACCAGCATCCCATCGGCGAGCGACGAAGTGAAGAGCAACATTCACTGGTTGGTGGGTGCTAGTGCATCGTCACCAGATGCACTGTTCGGTGCTGCTGTACGTCAAACTGGAACAGGCTCCGCTGGCTGGTTAGTGATTGTGGAAGATTCCTCATTCGTCAATGTCCCTCAGTTACTGCACTATATTGGCCGGTCAGTTGCCATGCAGCATGCCATTGCTGTGCGCTCACCTGAAATTGCCTGCCCGTGCATGCAAGAACACTGCATGCCTTGCTCAGCAGATGACATTGCTGCTTTAGTTGTTCCTATGCATCTGGCGCAACGCTATACGGCCAAGTCTCAACACGCATCGTCCAGTCCGTCCGATTCCTATCAACAAGGAGGCAACGCTGCTGCTGCTGCTGGCATTGCAGATCTGTCACGTCAGCTCCAAGAAGTACTAGATGTCCGTAAATGCCCGGCTGCCGAAGACAGGCACACAAAGGTAGGGTTGCAAACAACCAGTGTAAGTTGGTACCTGTCAGAATGCCCCCCCCCCCCCCCCCAATTCCACCTTCTGCAGAGCAAATTTTATAAGCCCTGGGCCTACTGTGCAATCTACATCCCAAGTTCTTGGAAACAATCTGAGTTCCTGGATTGTGTTTTTGTTCCCGGGTAGCCCTATGTACATCTCAGCATCATGCGGCGTGCAACTCCAAGCAGAAGCCACACATGATTGCTATGGTGAAGTTTGCCTGCGTTCTTTTCATGATGCAGGGCGGAGCGCGTCGTTCATCCGGCTTGTGTCACCGCATTGCACACATCCTGGATAGGAACTACTGGAGCCAGCCACAATCAGGTTTTCAGACAGCTATGGTAACGTGCCTGACCCACAGCGAGCAATACAAGCATCTCCTGCATGAGGTACTAGGCTTCGGAAGTTTGAAAGCATGGAATACGCAAGTGGAGCTACTGTAAAACCGGAAAAATTTGGTGTGGTTTTATTTTCGGTAACTTCGGTACTGTCGCGAACGTCACGATGAAATACATGTACAGCTAGCTGTACATGAAAATGAAGTCGGAATAACCAATTCAAAGTTGTATTTGCATTACATAACGATGATTTGTGCTCTCTTACTTTCTAGCTTCGAAGGAATTCTTCGTTTCTCCAGTCTTTGCATTTTGCTCATGCGTGACTTTCCTTTCTTTTTGTTATGCATGACCATGATGACGTATTGGTATGGCGTATATATGTACGTGACCACTTGACTGCATGTTCACTAACTACAGACAGTAGGCTAGTGCACTTTAGCGATTCGCTCTCCTTGCTGTTCACTTCTTCTCCGTTTCTATTTTGTCGCTGCACTAGTTCCTTTTTCCACCATGCCACATCGATGAAAGTCGTGGTCGCCATTTTAATGCATGATCTCTGTGCGCAGCTGCCTGTGGATGCAGCTGCTTTTTCCGTTCAATTTTGATCTTGTTTTGAGAAAGAATGAAACAAACAAACTTTCCAAATGAAGAAACGTTGTCGAATGTCTTTCATGTCCGTTGGTTCGTGATGAAAATGTCGCGAATCAGGACAGGTACAGGTAATTTTTACCTCAAATAAAACGCACCGACAATATACTTGCATGCATGCCGACTGCAGTACGGATAACGGGTTTACCGAAATTTTCGCGCTACCGAACCGTTGATTTTGGGAAATACCGAAAATATTACTCCACTGAAAATTCCCGGTTTTACAGTACATTGTCACAGCTGTTACCGTATTCCTATGCAAACTATACTTCTGCCGGTGTAGTCTCTGCAGTCAAGTTCAATTCGTGTCTGTATTGCCTTCAGGGTGATGTTACGTACTCACACCAGTCTCGAGATCTCCTGTACTGGCTTGATGCATGATCATCGTTGACGTCAGCTAATACAGTGCGGCATTCATGATTGTTTAGAGCTCTGTAATGTGAGGGGCATTTGCTTATGCCGTTGACACTCAGAGAATCACAAAAGCACATCAATTGCAGATTGCTGTAGACACTACGACGAGGATGGATCATGCAGTCTACGTGACATCGTAATGATATAATTATTTAAACAGTTGCGTTCAAAGTTTAGAAGTTATGCCTGGGCTGGTATGTAGGACACCCGGTATGCTTCATTTGCTTTATGATTGTGCTGTTCTGACAGATGCTGCGAGACTGGGCGTCACGTTTGTACTTTCGAATTGAATCACTGCGCATGCAGCTGAAAGAACAGGTACGTGCACACCAAACTGATGAATCCCAACGGTCTTACCAAATTGAAGGTGATGTGCACTGCATGCCATGTACCAATACATCCAGCAGACTTCCTGCTCCTTCACTCGATGCCTTGGAATTATGTAACCTTAAACTTAAGACCCAAGCCAAAGGCTCTGATATGACATCGGCGGTTTCCTTCTTCCTCTGGCTGTCTCTTTCATGCATACATATCAGGGCCGGCGCCACTGGTGCGGTCGGTACGGCCATGGCCGTACCAATTTCCCAAAAAGTCGGCCCACACGGAACGTCCAAAATCTGGGAGAAAAAGTTTCGATGTATGATTTTGTACGGGGAGTCGTAAAATGGACTACCCTGTCATCAGGAACATTCCACGTACAGTGAACCATGGTGAACTATCATGGATGCAGACTTGCTAGTTTATTGTACCCCGGGGGCTAGGAGATGCACCGAAATGCGCCTAGAGTGCAGGATTTGCCTTCTAAATTCCTAAAAATGTCTGGGGGTCACCCCAGCCTCCCTCCCCCCTCAACATGGCACTATGCCACACTGCTCCTCTCCAGCCCTACATATCATGACTCTGTATTGCACTGGATACTTACTTAGCAATTCTATGCTTTCTCTTGATGGCTGCCTGCAGGAAGTGATGCTTCATCTCAATGCAAACGAGTCTGCGGCAGTAGGCAGTCAGCCACTGCTAGCAAAGAACATTGCGGTGTTCTCACGCATGAGGGATTCATGCTCTGGTGACGGCAAGCCACTACTCTCCCCTACACCACAGTATGGGGAGATCGTCGAACAGTTAAGGCATGCAACGTGGAGTATGAATGATAGAAGTGCTCTAAGGCAAATGTATCTCTTCTCCAGCACTCATTCCAGTTTACCCTTCCAGTATCATACTGAGCTGGATGAGAACAATATCGTCAACGGCGGTGAGCTGGTGGGGAAACTTGTTAGGCAGCGTACGCGCAAGCACAATCCCAAGCTGAAGGTGAAGGGACGCATACTGGACGCGCATGTGCGTACTTGTCCTAGCTATGGCACTGAATACCGTTTGACCATTCAGCTGTCTACAGTGATACTAGACGGTACACGTTCGTACATGCTTCAGAGGAGACTGGGCGACTACATGCTAGTACCATCCCATGGTGTTCCATATCGCCGATCCACTGTTGCCATATTGCCAATCTCAATGGCCGGCCACAGGTTCCAGGCATTCTTGGCCATGTATGAGCGCACGGTGTTACGCCAAGACGTGCACCACGTCAAGCTGGTGGTGGTGCTCATGTCGACGGATGATAGCGTTCACCAAGCCGTATCAGCCGACATCATTGCCATGAAGCAAAGATACCCATCGGCAGATGTCCTATTTGATTTCCGTCCAGAGACGTTCAGGCGTGGTCGATGTCTACACTATGCTGTTTTGCAGCAAGACCCTGGAGACATACTGTTTTTCTGTGATGTCGACATCACCTTCTCAGCAGGGTTTCTACAACGGTGCGTACACAACGCTGAGCCGGGACTGCAGGTGTACTCGCCTATTCCGTTTGCCCTGTATGACCCTGTGTTTGTGCAGCGGGCTAGGAAGTACGGTCTGCGCAGAGACAGCTTCGACAACGCTGCCCTGGGTATGACCGACGAGCAGGTGCATGAGGTCATTGATGACATGATGAGAAGCGGATGGCCAACAGGACATTTTCCACACGGCGGTGGTGGCGGTGGCGCCAATAGCACCAGTGAGTATAGGCATCAGTACATCGTCGAGAATGGGTTGATGGTGGATGCAGAGTACGGCCATTGGTTGGAGCACTCATACGGTATGCTGTGCTTGTATCAACAAGACTACATGAATGCCGGTGGTTTCGACCTCTCCATCGCTGGCTGGGGCGGTGAGGACGTTGATCTAGCGGAGAGGTTGGTAGCTAGGGCTGGCTTGGACCTATTCCGGAGTCCTGATCCGGAGCTCTTTCATCGCTGGCATCCCAAGCATTGTGATCCTGAAGCGCTGGATGAGCATCAGTATCTTATGTGTACGGCTTCAAGGGAAGAATCTATAGCATCACTGCAGCAACTTATTATAGTACACTATGGCCTGTGAGTTGTGGCCTGTCTGCGTGTGCCAGTGTCCGCTTAACACATGCAGCGGCTGTGCTAGCATCTGTCTGCATTTTTACGTATGTTCAAGGACCAACTCTATTTTCTAGCTTGAGAATCAGTTGATGTCATAATTGATCAGTGATTTAGATTTCTCATTGGTTTGAAGGAGGTGATTTTTTGGAATAGCATATTGCTATCATATTCAGTGGAATAGAATGATGATTCTCATTTGGTTCAATTGGCGTACGTCAAGCCAAAAAAAACACGGTTCGTGTGAGCCTTGGCTTTCCGCACCCGCAGGAACGCCACCACCCTCTTGGATCAAGGTGCAGATACAGCTCCTAAAGCGGGTGAGCAGTGAGTAGATCAAACCCACCACAAAGTGGTCAAAGACCGAAAATCCCATTCGCTACTGCATCCATGTTTCCCTCGAGCCAGGCAACTATGGGTCGCAGCACAGCTGAAAAAATCCTTCCGCTTCCAAACAGGACTTGAACCTGGTACCCTCTGTCTCTCAATCACGGTCTTAGACCATCCCATAGGCACTATTCCAAGCATGTCAAGCCAAGCACATCTCAAACTTCCAAAGACACAGACTTCACACATGTGTACGTGTGTGTTGTGTGCATGTGGTGTGTGTGTGTGTGTGCGCGCGTGCATGTGTGCGTAAAAAGAAGTAAAAAGGGAAAATAATAGGGATTCAATGGCCAGAAAGAACCTCTTCAACCAGGCTGAAAATAGTCAGCCAGTCATCAGCTTGGTGAGGGGCCGTCCGGGGTTACCGATTGTTTTTACAAAACGAAAGGTTTTAGTATTTTTCAGCCCCCACCCACCTACCTGTTCGGCAGGTAAAACGAATTCCAATAAAATATTGATGACAATTTTCCACACCCAGAAGGAACTGGGCATGCAATCTCCAACTGCATTCAATAATTATTTTCGAAACGAAACTCCCTCAAACCCACCCACCCCAAAACGAAAACTTTTCGTTTTGAAAATATTATTGGTAACCTTGGGCGGTGCCTAAGCTGTTGAATTGTACGATCACACGCAACACCATTTGCTTTGTCTAACACATCTTTGGCGCATGTGCAAGTGGTGTGCAGTGCACCGGCCTACTCCTCACCTATTTCCTGCGAGACTCGCGTTCCCAGCTCCTGGCAGTGTGTGAGTGCAGGGGGGGGGGGGGGGGGGATACGTGTGGGTGATGTGGTGAGTGTTTCACCCAACACCATTCCAGATTATCTTCCACTAAAATACAAAGTACATGTACATGACTGTACTGGCAATTATGTTTAACTCCCTCAAGACAAACAGTCCGAGGAAATGTGGCTAGAGCACGTGTAAAATAAAAATGCAATCTGACCACATTTGCTTGACCTAAGCTAAGCAGTGTCAAAAACGTTTGCTGCTCGCTGCACGTGCAACAATGCACACCAATATACTTGAAGTAAAAGAATAAGAAAATGATCTACGGCTGGGGGAAAAAACGGGAAAACAAACAAAACGAAAACGGCCGAGTATTGAAAATCATGTACAAAAGCGAAGGATATACGGAACAACAACGAAGATTTTAAGACAAACGTGATCATGGTGTAGACGAATTCCCAAGGCATTAGGTACAGAAAAGCCCATCGCATTACATCACAGTCCAGAGACATGGAGTGATACCCATATGAACCGGAATCACTCATCAACTGCCAGAAGAGAAAAAGGACGAAAACAGGAGCAGATTTCATTGGGAAGAGGTACTAAATACACTGGGAAAAACGGTATTGCAGTTCGAGAAGGCATTGAAGCAATGTGGGTCAACGGAGTCACATAAGCAGCAGTTAGCGAAGCATTGCCGAAAAGGCACGTGTGTTTCGTGTTTTGAAAGCAAATTATTGATAAGGTGATAACGGTGACGGGACGCATCATGAAGGCTGTAACAAGTTTCAGCGCTACTCTAACCGGGTAAACAGCATGCTAGTATGTCATGACTACGAGGATGATGATGATGATAATGATGATGATGCTCTGATAGCAAACCTTTGAAATATAAAGGTGAAATGTTACATTGGTACGAGATATTGCAATCCTCAATTGAACAAAAACCTGTCTAGCGTGGCCTAGCGATCTTTGTAGTAGAAGTCGAGATTCGGTGGGTCCGGTGGGATCTTGGGTGGCTGGTCCGGAATAGGAGCATTCTCAACATCCAGCAAGCGTAGTTTCATGTCCATGTTTAGCAGCATGTCAATGTCTTCTGATGCATGTTCCATCTGTGCGCATGATCACAACATTACCAACAACGATATTCATACTTCAAAGTACTTTTGAAGTATCTTCATTTTAGATATTCTTTTGTAGCCCACGTCTCTCCAGTGGCAGGGAGTTGTTTCATTTTCATTTTATTTCACTTCGTTATGGGCACAGGCAATGCAATGCATCGGAGGGTGAAACCAACGATTCCCGCCAGTGACTAATTACAAGGGTGATGGGTGACAAGGTCCATCTAACTCTGTCGACCAGTGGTCTCAGCATCAACGCCGGCTGGATAGGCCATGTGCAGCATGCATGATGGATTGGTGACAGTCCTTCCACACAGGAAAAAACACATGTGCACAATTGCATCTCCTGATGAATTATTATTTTTCTGTCCGAGCGATCTTGTTGGTACTCAGCAGACGCCCCACAATACATTATTTCATACTTCGAAGTACATGTACATATACAATGTCCGAATATGCATTTTCTAGCATCACACGTGTTGTTGTTTACATGGCCAATGCAGGCATGCATGCACACACACCCAATCAACCTCCCTGCACGAGCACACAAGCTACACGCTCATTATGACTGCATGCACGCACGCAAATGCGTGCACACACACACGTGCGTAGATAAGCACAACAACCCTACCGGCTGGTTGAGGAGAACTCGAAGGCCATCAATCCAAATTGCATACTGCAGATAAGAGAACACCAATGCATGCACAACACAGAGCAAGATGAAAGATGCCACGAGGCCCATAAATCGGTTAGTTGAACCTTTCCACAAAGCTCAACTGGATAAACAATCACCAAAGCCAAGAACAGCCCCCTCTGCCCATGCGGACACCTCAGAAAAGCACGCATCTAGGAAATAAGAACAGCTTGTTCCAGTCTTCAAATTTTCCAAGTCACATAGGAACTACTTCGAAGTAGCCCAGCCAAGTTTGGTGGCTCCAGACAACAATTTGTTTATGCATTGATGGATTCTCCACAGGCCTTAGCCTAAATCAAGGGAGTCTCACAATGCCATGGACTTAAAATCCTGCTGGAAACGACGAACGCACAGCACAGCACATGAACAAATCCGAATTTTGCCAAAAATGTAACAAAGTTAAATCTGTAAAGCTCTTCCTCACTTGTTTCTCATCCTCCGCGACAAAGTCCAGCGTCATTTCTGACTCGGTCACACGAAGAGCAAACTGATACTGAACAGCACAAACAAACAATAAGAAGCACAAACAAACAATAAGAAGCGCAAACAACAATTCATTTCCGAAATTAGGGCAAAGCCTGTCAGAATAGGTTGCTCATTTGCAAATCCCTACCACGCCCTCCCCCCCCCCCCCCCCTCTCTTTGTCTCTCTCTAGAAGTGTACGTACTACTAGTACCTGCAGTGAATCAAACAGCACCATACAGTAGACTGAATGTCATAAACGAGAAGCAGCGCTGCTTACCTGTTGTGATTTGACAGAGTTGGGCACCTTGTCACGCCCACACAGCAGCTCTCGAATCTCCTGCACAGCAACTGCGATACGCCATACGGCAAGCACACAGAAAATACAAGAATGATTGTGAGTGCATACATCACATATTCATGACCGGAGAACCTACGGATCTCCACTGCATAGCAGGGTGGCAACGTACCTTTCTTTGGCAGCTCTTCCAGCGGTAAGACATGCGTACAGCTGTCATCCGGTGTGTTCCAATGCAGAACGCGATGGTTTGGTGACAAGCGACAACACCAGTTAGCACGCTGCTGTCGACCGCGGTTAGTGAACGTGTGAAACAGCGCTCCCTCCGTCAGATGCAGTAACCGCTGCTTCTTAACAAGGTCGACGACTTGTGGCTTGATGCGATCGCGCAGCTCAATGACTGGCTTAGAACGGGTGGTCACATCCACAATCTTGTGCTTCTCGTCATCAATGATGCCAATAATACGACTATACGTCATCTCCCATAGCTCACGCTGCACAAAAACAATACCCACAGACACCATCACTAAACGACAGGATATCTTGACCAAGCAGGCGCGTGGCCGCAAGGGGCACGGGGCACGTGTACCCCCCCCCCCCCTCTAAAAAGTTCGACCTAGGTTCAGCATGTGCAGGTTCCTATCAAGAGCGATCACCTACAACTTCAAGTTGTACTACAAGTACGCCACAGAAGCGCATCTGCAACTGACCTTGAGATCTGCCATGTTGCGTGGGTTTAGCTTCAACACTTCCGTGATCTGCTTCCGTACTACTGTTATCACCTGGAATCCACCAAGCATACGCACACATGCACAGCCACACAGCCACACACAGCCACACACACCCACACACACACGCACACACACACACACACACACACACACACACACACACACACACACACACACACACACACACACACACACACACACACACACACACATGCATACACACAGGCATATATTCACACATCAACATGGACATGATTGTTGCCATAACAAAATTGGGCAAGGACGATATTGAAATTGGGCTTGTAATGTTATACACACTGAGTGGCAGAAACTCCTCCTTTGTGTGTGCATATGTGTGTGTGTGTGTGTGTGTGTGTGTGTGTGTGTGTGTGTGTGCGTGCGTGCGTGTGCGTGTGTGTGTGTGTGTGTATGTGTGTGTCTTGGCCCACACAAACACTCTACAAATACACAATGCCCTGGCCGCATGCACACAGCATGCACACAGCATGCACACAGCATGCACACAGCATGCACACAGCATGCACACAGCATGCACACAGCATGCACACAGCATGCACACAGCAGACTGGAAGCAGAACACAGTGGGCAAACAGCCAGTTCGTGCATCAGGAAGCAATGCTGAGAGGAATGCCGAGTGATTCAACATTACTGACTACATGTATCAGGAATAGACAGGTGACTATCCACACTCGGGCTGTGTAGAGTGTCAATGTCCGGTGACTATCTACACTGAGGCTGTGTAGAGTGTCAATGACAGGTGACTATCTACACTCAGGCTGTGTAGAGTGTCAATGTCCGGTGCACACAGCCACCAATAATACAACAGGCACATGTCGCAACTCCAAGTAAAAGCAGAGAAGAAACTTGTGTTTGTACATGTTGCCGGAAGACTATGAGGGCTGCATGTAAATGAAAGCCTTCAGAAAAGACAAGCTGGTGCACATGGTGGCCGCATGCCTGCAGGGTCTAGTGATCACATGCTACAGTAATGGTTGGCACCTATGCACTGACTGAATGTCACACCAGAAACATATATACACACACACACACATACCTTCTCAAAATCTACAACTCCAGCACCCATCTCTCTCCAGGTTTTATTCAAGAGCTGAATGCAGATTGAGAAGAGCTCTTCGAAGAAGTATTCCGTTGAGTAGAAAATAGGCAGGAAGTTGGTGGCCACTTCTGACGCTGCAACAGACCACAGAAGAATAAACACACATGCACACACATGCACACCCACCCACCCACACACTCACACCCACGCACACACACACCCACACACACCCACACACCCACACCCACCCACATTTACAAAGCCAGAGTTTATTATATAAACACGTGGTCTGCTGATGGAGTTCTATACAAACAAAGAAACAAAACAAAAATGGTAGCAGCTGACATAACAACAATGCCATAGATAATGGCAGGTATATGCCTAACACCTACATCACATTGTACATATCAACAGCATCAAGCTGACTGTCACACTGACATGCATGAACACAAAACTGAAATCCGCCACGCATAAAGCGTTTCTTACCGACTTCACCGACATGAAGAATATC